ACCTTCTACTGCCTAGAGAGAGAACTGAGACCCACGGGCAAGAGTCAGGATTCGAATCCAGGTCCAACTACACACTTTCCCCCATTCTGGGCAAAATTCTGGAAAGCCTTGGCCTAGGTAGCTCCCAAGAGCTGAGTGGAAGGTGAGGAGGGGAACATGAGTGCTATTGACTAAGCAACTGAGGTGTGGGGGCTTTGGGTGTAACACTATAATAACCCTCATCATTATCTCGAAAAGCGACTATCACCATCCCCAAGTTGTAGATGAGGAACCTGAGGCTGAGAATGGAAAATAATTAGATCACCAAATGTCCTGCAGTGAGGAGGGGAGGAAGTAGAATCTAGGTCTGTCCCATTCGGGTCCCCCTGGAAACAGATGTGGGACTTGGGAGTCTGCGTGCAGAAGTTCCTTAGGCAGTGACTTAGGGATGCCTGTGAGATGTGAGGAAACAGGACTGCCTGGAGGAAGGAGCTTCAGTGCAGTTACACAGCGGCCTCAGCTAATCCCACAGGAGCTCTGCAACTGAGACAACCCTTAGTCAGGCCAGAGGGTCCATAGCTTGGTGCCCAAATATGCACCAGTTATGGATGGAACTGCTCTGGGGAAGGAGCGTAACCTGGTGAAGTGTCTTGCTCTGGCTGAGAGCGATGCCTAGCAGGAATTTGGGAGAACTCCTGGCAGCTGGAGGCCAAAAGCCTCTGTGCAAGAGAAGCTCAGTGGCCACCACAGCATCCTCATACAGCCATCTCCGGAGACCTTTTCAGTCCTCTGCCCTGCGTCAGAAGAACCAGCCCTGCCCTCATGGAGGTTATGGAAGATGAACTCATTTTCTTTGTGGAACTAACAGGCCAAGGGATGCTGAGGCAGAAGATGGAGAAAGAGTGAGTGGTAGTTGTGAGAAAGGAAGAAAACACCATCAAAAACCTATAGGAGCCAGGCTTGGTGGTGCATGCCTGTAGTCCCAGCACTCTGGGAGGCCGGGGCAAAGGACTGCGAGTTCCATCCCAGCTTGGACCACATTGTGAGAACTTGTCTCAAAATAAAAAATGAAAAAAGTCTGTGGGTGTAGCTCAGTGTGAAGGCCCTGGCTTCAACCCCCAGTACTGGGGCAGAGGGGCTATTGGGGGTGGATGTGGTGAAGTGATGGGTGCTTATAATCCCAGCTGTTTGGGTGAGCCAGAAGGATTGCAAGTTCACAGCCAGTCTGGGAACCTTAAAAAGACTCTCAAAATAAAGAAAAAAGAGGCACTGGCACTGTAGCTCAGCAGAAGAGCACTCCTGAATTCCATCCCTAGTACCACATAAACAAGCATACACAAACAAAAGCTATGTTGGGAAAAATATTTATAAATCATGTATCTGATGAGAGTTTAATATCCAGAACATATGAAGAACTCCTAAAGCTCAACAACACCCCTATTATAAAATGAGCAAAAGACTTCAATAGACATTTCTCCAAAGAAGATACATGAATAGTTAATGAGCACATGAAAAGGTGCTCTACAGTGCTGGGCATGGTGGCACATGCCTATAATTCATCACTCTTGGAGGCCGAGGCAGAAGGGTTGCAAGTTCAAGCCCAGCCATAGAACTTAGTGATTTAGTAAGACCTTGTCTCAAAATAAAGTGCTGGAGATGCAGCTCAATGTGAAGGCCCTGAGATCAGTCCTTAGTAACCACCCCTCCCAAATACTGCACATCATTAGTTATCAGGGAAACACAAAACCACAATGAAAGGCCAGAGATTTAGCTCAGTGGCACTGCACCTGCCTGGCAAACACAAGGTCCTGAATTCAATCCTCAGTACCACAAACATACAAACAAACAAACAAAAAATAAAACACACACACACATACAATGAGATACCAAATCATACTTAATATGATGGCTATACTTAAAAGGAAAGTAATATGTGCTAGTGAGGATGTGGAGAAACTGAGGCCTCTGTGCACTTGGAGGTGAGACTATAAAATGGTGTGGCTGCAATTCATTTCTTAGATATATACACAAAAGAATTGAAAACAGGAACTAGAACAGAGACATACAGTAGCCAAGGGTGGAAACAATCCCCATGGCCATCAGCAGATGAATGAATAAACCAAAGGTGGTGTATGCAGTCACGGACTCTGTAACAGTGTTTCAGTCAACAACAAATGATTTGTCTACCCAAGCTCCCATGGGTTATATCACTGAATGAATTGGGGCCATCTTAGTTCGTGTAAGCACACTGTTTGCACAATGATGTTACCTAATGACACGTTTCTCAGGAAGCGTCCCCATTAAGTAACACAAGACTGTATGCATGAGCTACAACATAGATGAACTGGAAAAGCAGTAAGCTAGGTGAAACAGGCCACACACACAATGATATTATATGGCTTAACTTACTTGGAATATCTTCAATAAGCAGATTCCTAGAGATAAGAGTAGAAACTACCAGGGTCTAGAAGAAGGGGAAAAATAAGAAGTCACGGCTTATCGGGCAAGAGTTTCTGTTTGGAATAATGAAATGTTTTGGAATTAGACAGTGGCGGCAGAGGTTGCACAACACTGTAAATGTGTTTAATGTTACACACTTAAAAAATAGTCAGGATGACAAATTTTATGTTATGTATATTTTACTGCAATAAAAATCAAACCACAGAAAATAGTAAATCCATAGAGACGGAAAGGTAATTGAGCGGGATGTATCAAGTACAGGTGCAATTCCCTTCGATGAGTGTTATCATTGTGCAGTCCTAAAACATACCAATAAATGTTTTGCTATAAAAAAAAAGAAAGAAAGAAAATTGATGTCCGGGAAGAGGGAACAGGGAACGATTGCTGCTGGGTACAGAGTTTTCTTTTGGAATCATTAAAAAGTTTTGAAAATAGAGTGGTAGCATTGTGAATGTACTATCACTGAGTTGTACAGTTGAAGTGTACACTTGAAAATAGCTATATGAATATCTTCTCATTTAAAAAAGTGGAAAAAAACCTGGAGAAATAAAATCTATTAGATGCATCCAAATAAGTACTCGGGGGAAATATATAGCCTTTCTATGACACATTTATTAGAATATAAGAAAGTCAGAAAATAAATGTGCTAGGCTTACAGCTCAAAAAGAGGGAAATTGTATTTTTTTAAGTTAAAGAAAATGTCCTGAACCCAGCTTTGGCAATGTACCATTCAGGAACAGACAATAAACAAACAACTAAATGTGAGAACTAGCAAGAAAAATGCGAACTGTGAGGAAAACCCAGAGTGACAGGTAGTGAACGGTATGGTGAGGCTGGAGATGGAGGTGGAGATCAGACCGCGCTGGGCCTTGTGGACGCCCACTCTGCTGTGCCATCTCCACGTGTCGTACCATTCTTCCCACCCTCTGCCCCTCAGCTGGCGGTCACAGCCCCAACACGGTCTGGGTTTCGGGCCTGGCTCTGTGTGGCCCTGTGCTGTCTGTTCCTCCGGCTGACCCTCTTTCCCTATAGGAGGCCGTGCAGCTGGGACCTCTTACAGTTTTGGAAGCCTTGACCCAGTGAGTCACGGGGCTGCTTTCCCTCTGGAGGCTGTGGAGGAAATCCCTTCCTGTGCCACTCCCTACTTCTGAAGGCTGTCTGCATTCCCTCGCTCATGACCCAGCATCACTGTGGCCTGTTTCCACCGCCACATCCTCTGACTCTGATCCTCACGCTTTCCTCTTACAAGGACCCATATGATTAGTTGTATCCAATCAGATAATCCGTAGTAATCTCCCCATTTGTAGGTTTTTAATTGATCATATCTGGGAATAACCACATCTGCGAAGTTCCTTTTGAACAAGGACATGGACATATTTGGGGGCCTACCATGCCTGTCTTCAGCTGCAACCTTCAGGCTTGCCCAGTCCCTTAGGGAGCCTCCTCTTCTCAGTCCTCTGCTGTGCTGCAGCCAGCCCTGCTCCTTGCTGACCCTCAGCACCCCAAGCACAGGCCAAACCCAGCCCTAGGAGCCCTACCCACCAAGTCCCAAGAGTGTGCCTCTGTTCTCCATTCTGAGAATTCTGCTCCAGGGTGTCATTGCTTCATCCCAGTTAGAATGATGAACCCACGGGACCCCAGGATCTATCCCAGAAGTTTCCCAGTAGACATTTGGTATGGGACAGAGTAGGTTATTTTCTTTTTTGGGGGGTTTTTTTTTGACACAAGGTCTCACTATGTAGTTGAGACTGACCTGGAACTCACTGTGTAGCCCAGGCTGGTCACTCATAGTGATCCTCCTGCCTCAGCCTCCCAAGTGCTGGGATTACAGGCGTGCACCACCATGCCCGGCTTCAGAGTAGGCTTTTACAGAGGGTTCACACTTGACAAAAGGATCTTCTGCTAAAGTAGAGTTGGACAGCACTGCCCTGAGACACAGATAAGATAGGTCCCTGCCAGGTCCTACTCTCTGGCTTTCTAAAGGCTATGTCTTCCCCATAAGGGAAGAAGCATTCAAGGGACCAAGGGACATGCTCAACGGGCTCACATGCCCTGCTTTAGACCATACCCTGGATACTGGGGACCCTGGGAGTTCCTGTCCAGAACTCCTGCTTTTGGGAGATCTTCCAGTGGGAGACCAACGCTACCAGAAGACCATTCCTGGGCCCGAGAGGTGTCACAGAAGTTGGGTATATAAGTAGGATACACTTGTGTGTGCAGCTTCTAGTGGAAAGGGAAAGAGAATGGACATGGGCAGCTTCCACTACACAATTCCCATGGAATTTGAAAGAGAGACTGATCTGACCTGGCTGCGCAGGTTACTATGAAGGTCTAGCCATCAAGTTGGGAGAGAGAGCATGCTTTGTCTAACAGTGACATGGCTCGAGTTGGAACTTTTACTTACACCTACAAGATGTGGGCCTCCAGGTGTGCCCTTGTTGACTTCACAGTGGCAAAGTTGACTCCCTGATTTCAGAGATCTTCCCAACCCTGAGGTCTGACCTCCTCAGCATGCTGTCCCCTCCAAATCCCACTGACCTCTCTCTGTCCTCTCTCCCCAGAATAGCTGTTGCCCGGGAGACGTGGCCCGGGTGCCCTGCTAGGGCAACAGCACCTGCCCACGGGCTGGGATCATGAAAGGCCTCGGTGACAGCCGCCCCCGCCACCTCTCCGACAGCCTGGACCCACCTCACGAGCCCCTATTCGCAGGGCCTGATCACAACCCCTACCTGCTATCGCCCACAGAGGCCTTCGCCCGCGAGGCCCGCTTCCCAGGACAGAATACCCTGCCCGGTGACGGCCTCTTCCCACTCAACAACCAGCTGCCCCCGCCCAGCAGCACCTTCCCCCGAATCCACTACAACTCCCACTTTGAGGTGCCAGAGGAGAGCCCCTTTCCCAGCCATGCTCAAGCCACCAAGATCAACCGGCTGCCTGCCAACCTCCTGGACCAGTTTGAGAAGCAGCTGCCCATCCACCGTGATGGCTTCAGCACCCTCCAGTTCCCCCGAGGCGAGGCCAAGGCCCGTGGTGAGAGCCCTGGCCGCATCCGCCACTTGGTCCACTCTGTCCAGCGACTCTTCTTCACAAAGGCACCCTCACTGGAGGGCACAGCAGGCAAGGTCGGGAGTAATGGCAGCAAGAAAGGTGTCATGGAGGACGGCAAGGGCCGGAGGGCCAAAAGCAAGGAGCGGGCCAAGGCTGGGGAGCCCAAACGGCGCAGCCGCTCCAACATCTCAGGCTGGTGGAGTTCTGATGACAATCTGGACGGTGAGGGTGGCGCCTTCCGCACCAGCGGCCCAGCCTCTGGCCTGATGACTCTGGGCCGCCAGCCGGAACGCAGCCAGCCGCGCTACTTCATGCACGCCTACAACACCATCAGTGGGCACATGCTCAAAGCCACCAAGAACAACACCACTGAGCTGACTGCCCCTCCTCCCCCGCCCGTGCCCCCAGCTGTCTGCCCCAACCCCGGGGTGGGCTCGGACACCAACTATGTCAAACGGGGCTCCTGGTCCACTCTGACCCTCAGCCATGCCCATGAGGTCTGCCAGAAGACCTCAGCCACCTTGGACAAGAGCCTGCTAAAGTCCAAATCCTGCCACCAGGGTCTAGCCTACCATTACCTGCAGGTGCGTGTCCTCCAGGGTCGGGATGGGGTGGGGGCTGGTAGAGAAGCTGCCCCTGTTTTGAGGTCCCACTGTACCACAGATTCACTGGGAAGCAGCTTTATTCGGGGGTCCTTTTTGTTCAGCTCTGAAATGGGTGGTTGGTGGGACTATTCATAAGAGGATTCCTTCCATGGATCATGCTTTCAACAGATTGTTCATTAGGGCCTTTCTGAGTCCAGACCCAAGAAGGGATTAAAATATGCCCCTGCCCTGTAGAAGGAAAATTTGGAGACTGCCATCCCACTCTGCTCGGAGGACCTGTACATGGCATTCTAATTGTCAGCCTCCTCCCTGCCACCCTCATCACACTGGCGGCTTCTTGAGGACAGGGACTACATCTGATGCAGTTGGGGGTTCCCCAAGGCCCAGGTGAGGAAGTATTCAGGAAATGTGGGAAGAGGTAGACGGACAAATGGACAGTTAAGTGAACAGAGCTAAAAATGAAGAAGACGCAGTAAACAGGCAGTGGGTCAGTGTGGGCAGAATGGGATGGGCAGCAGCGCCATGAGACACCAGCCCTAGAGGCCCTGATGGGCTTCGAAAGAACTTTCTTCTTCTAAATGCTAATGCTGCTTGAGGCACTTATTATGTATCACGTGGCAGAGAGCTCGGAGACATCATTGCCACTGCACAGACCTGAGGTCCTCAAGGGCAGGGCAGGTGGCTGTGGACCTGAAAGTGCAGGCCCAGGGGGTGGAAGTTACAGGAAGCAGGTTGCAGGTGCCAGGGGCTGCTCCAATAGGAAGTGAGCACTTCTTCCCAGGGCTGTGTGAGCACAGGCCCGGCTAGACCTTGGGTACCTGCATAACATGTTTTGAAGGAGAGGAACTTCAAGGTCTGACACAGCCTGAGTTTTCATTCTATATAAAACTCCAGGGACAATAAGACTACAGTGGGGAGGGCCTCCTTTTTAGAAAGAAATAGAAATCTAGGTAACTTTTATGTATTTAGGGCTTTTGTGGCTGTCAATCTGCTTCCTTAGTTTAGAGACATTAGGGAGGGTGGTGTGTGACCCGGCTCTCTGTCCAGCGTGTGGTTGGGTCTGATGAAGTAGAAATGCCTCCTCTCCAACGAGAGAGCCCTGCAGGCCCTGGAGCTTGTGCTGCCTGCCTGGTGACGGGGTGAGCAAGCAGACTGGCAGAATGTTCTGAGCAGGGCCTGTTCCCAAGGATGGTGCATCGGGGATGAACTAGCTGGTGGCTTGGGAGGTGGAATGTGCAGGCCCTAGTGACCTGCTGGGCAGGCAGCTGGGGGTGTTATGGGAAGACTCAAGTCCCAGAGTCAGAAGGAGGTGGCCACTGGTATCCGGGCCATGTAGGAAGGCGTGGTGCTTGTGTGGGCACGCCAATCAGGGAGGGCATTTGTGCACGTGATGAAGAGTGAGTTTGCTGTGTACACTGGAACGTGTGCTCTTGGATATCCGTGGTGAAATGCGCCACCCTGGGGTGTCCATCGAGTGTGTTCAGCTGGGTATAGGCGAGATGTACGTCCGAGTGCAGCGGTTGCTGGAGCAGTGTGAGGAGGTTGCACAGTGCTGAAGAGTTATGCTCTGGATCCATGTTGTGCACACACTGAGGGGCTCTACTCGACGACGTGGCTGCTGCTGTGCCTCTTTAGGGAGGTATGCACCACACGGGGGGTACTTGCCGAGGGTCACGGAGGGAAATGGTGTGCTTGCTTCTGTGTGTTGAAATTTGTGTCTGCAATGTAGTAGTGATCATGCTTTATCAAAGCTGTTTTTAATGGTGTTACTCTAGAATGTTTTCTTTCCAGATGATGATTAAGATGCTAATAAAAAAAAATGGTGCCAGGTACCACAACAATATATTAAAAAAAAGAAATTTGTGTCTACACTAAGGTATGTTCATTCTGTGCCCAGACAGGGTGACAACCCCTGGCCCCAGGTAGTGAAGCTTGTGAGTGTGTGTGTATTTATTCTTCACGGAGTGGCTATCGACTGTGAGCGAAGAGACAGAAGGACACAGACTGTGCACTACCCTGGAGCAGCTGACAAAGCCGGACCTTAAAAGGGCTGGGAGATCCCCTCGGTTGGTTTCTGCCACCGTGACCACTGACAACCAGGGTGACCGGGGCTGCCCTCGGAGCTGTGGCCTCACCTGTCACCATCACAGCCCCATTCCATGGACGGGATCCTTGCAACTGGAATGGGGAAGCTGAGCCTTTTTCTAGCTCACTGTGGGGTTGCCTCATCCAGGCAAACCCCTTTGGCTCTGTGTACCTCAGTTTCCCCATCTATGGGACAGACCATTGATTGACTCTGAGATGCCACCCCCGCGCTGATGTGCCACAGACTTCCCACTCCCATGTTAGGGTCAGGCTCCAGTTCTTGGTCTGGAGGCCTCTCAGGGAGTGGCCTCGCTCCCTCAGGTCCGGTGTTCTCATCTGTACAGTGGGATCACAAGCCTACCTGGGTGGTATAAATGAGTTGAAGGGAATTTGGGTGCTCAGCAAGTATGGCTGCTGTGAAGCCCACTGTGGCCGCAGGGCCTGGGGCCAACCCAGCGTGGACCTATGCAGAAATCTGGCTGAGCAGGGCAGGGACTTGCTTAAGGCCACACGGCCAGTTCTGGAACCTGGGTAACTCTCCTGGCTCAGTCTCAGCTCTGCGCGGGGTGGTTTCAATGACAGCGTGGAAGGCCCGGCTCCTCTTGAGGTGCGGAGCAGTCCTTCAGAATTCACTTCCCAGATGATGAGCCAAAGGCTGGGCTGCCCCTGCCTCTGCACGCTTGCTGAGCGCCCCCCCACCATCCCCAGGTCCCCGGCGGCGGCGGGGAGTGGAGCACCGCCCTGCTGTCCCCACGAGACGGGGACGGTGCGGCCGAGGGGCCCATCCCTTGTCGGCGAATGCGCAGCGGCAGCTACATCAAGGCCATGGGCGATGAGGACAGTGACGAGTCTGGCGGCAGCCCCAAGCCGTCACCCAAGACCGCAGCGCGGCGCCAGAGCTACCTGAGGGCCACGCAGCAGTCGCTAGGAGAGCAGAGCAATCCCCGCAGGTGAGCGGCGGTCCCGCCCCTGGGTCCCGCCCCCGGTCACCCCCGTGCGCTGAGAGGACCGCCCCTTAGTGGGCCCCACCCACAGATCGGCCTCTCCCCTCGGCCCTTCCCCTTCAGGGGAGCGCGCCCAACCACGAGCTTTCCCCTAAGCGGCCTGTGGGGAGGCTTGGCCCCAGGTGATCCCCTCACAGGTACGTCAGGCACCTCGGAGCTCCGGCTTCCTCCTCTTCGGCCACATTGGAACGCCCAGCCCACAGGTGAATCCTGCCCCTCAGCCTCAGGTCCAGGTGAACCAATCTTAGTGATGATTCAGTCTCCTAGCTGAACCTGCCCTCAGGCTATCTGGTCCCAGAGATCCTAGCCCTGCACTCCGAGAAGTTGTCCCCAAAGGGCTTCATCAAGAATTTCCATGATTAAGCCTTGACCACAGGTCAGCCTCCTCCTCTGGTCAGCTCTGCCCATAACTAGACCTTCCCTCAAAACTCTGCCACAGGAGCCACATCCCCAGGTAAGTTCCACTCCCACTGGGGAACTGCCCCAGAGGGTCCCTTCTGCTTGGGCACCCCTCCCCCTAGTGAGCCCACCCTGTGTCCCAGAGCTGCCCAGGGAAGCCCAGCACCTCCTGCCCTCACACCTATGACCCATCACTATGGCAAGGTCTAGGACTGGGGAGGGAAGGCAATCCAAAATGGAGAGATAGGCAGCCGGCCTTCCCCAGTCCCAAAATCCTGCATAGAATTCCACCATTGGAGCTCCATCCTAGTAGTTTGGAGCTTGGGAGAATTGGAGGAAACAAGCTTATTCCTAGTTCTTCAACTCCTGGAGCATGAGTAAAGGCTTCATGGAGGAGGAAACCTAGAAGATGAACAGAGAAAAGGGAGCAGGCCAGGCAGGTGACAGTGACACTGAAGCAGGAAGGAGACAGTGTACTGTGCTTAGAACAGCCAGAAATCTGGTTGACTGGGGCAGAAGGCAGGGAATGGCCTGCAGGTTGGAATTTATGACACCAGCCGCAGTTTCCATGTTTAAGTGAGAGGCTGAGCTGGGTGACCTCCAAGATCTCTTCTAGTCTTAAGAACCTGCAGTCTGTGTATAACAGTGAACATTAGGGTGGGAGAAGGGCACAGGACCAGAACACTGGCCTTGAGTGAGGAGGAACCAAGGATAGTAATAACAGCAGCTGCTGCCTATCATTGTCTTACTGGCCACTGTCCCTGCCCCAGTGTGCTTTAATCAGCCTTGTTAAATCCTCTCAGCAGGCAGGCAGTGTCACCCCCATTTCAGCCTAAGTCCAACCACTGGAGGAAGCTAGCTTCTAGTCCAAGCCATCTGTGTCAGTATCCTGAACTTGTAGATACTTCATTTCCAAGATAAGGACTGGGGAAGACCCAGGGCCAGGTAGGTATGAGAAAGATTGAGGAGCTGGAGCCATAGACATGTGATGAAACCTAGGGGACCTGGTAAAAAAAACACCAGAACATCACATGAAACTGAGGGTCTTTGGGCAGCCTTCATCAAGTATGGGCTTTGATTCATGTCTCCTGACCAGTCTCTCTGGAAGGGTTGTGGAACTGAGCTGGGCTGAGCTGACCTCCATTTTAAAAGTCAAATGCAGGTTTGTGCTGCCACCTTCTGGCTGCCATGAATATGACATGTGGGGGTTCACCACACCACAGATAAAGGCCCTCCAAAGCTCTCCCCTGGGTCATCCTCCCAATCCTGCCCAGGCTAGCAGTGACTTCCATTTTTTATCTCTTCCACTGGATGTCCTTGCCAGTCTTTTCCCCCCTGGGCCTCAGTTTCCCAGGCTAAACAATGGGTGGGCTGAGCCGTGTCTGCTCCCTACCCCCCACCAGGAGTTTGGACCGGCTGGATTCAGTGGACATGCTGCTGCCTTCCAAATGTCCAAGCTGGGAGGAAGACTACAACCCCATCAGCGACAGCCTCAACGACTCCAGCTGCATCAGCCAGGTGAGGGTGGCCGGAAGATCAGTGGGCCTAGGAGAGCTCCCCCTAGGCGATAGGTGTCCTGCGGTCCCCAGATGTCTGTACTGTGCTTATGTTTGGTCTTTGTTCCCAAAGCTACCTGTGTATGTCTCTGCTCTGACTGTCCTGTGGCAGGAGTATTGTCACGGAGTCTGACACGCATGGCCTCCTGAGCTGAAGACTTGAGGAGGAGGCCACTAATGCTAGGCACCGAGCTGCCAGCAGTGGCTCTGGCTCCTCAGTGGGTTCAAAGCCATCAACACAGAAAACTGGCTTCAAGTCTCAGTTATGTCACTGAGAGTAGGAACCCCAAATAAAGCCACCTCCCCTCCCTGGGCCTCAGTTTCCTAATTTAACAAAGAAGGGTGGTAATTCCTGCTTCAGAGCATTAGAAAGAATAAAAAATATAAAGATCTCAATGTGTTCAACATAAGGGTAGTTACCTTTATGACTGTGTATCCTCAAGCAAGCTACATCTCCACTCTGGGCTCCTGAGCCCACCTGCTCAGTGGAAAGTTGGACTACCAGTGCCAAGCAGCAGGCCACTAACAGTGATAAGCACTCTGCTGTACTTTCCATTTACCTGCCGTGCTCTTGACCATCAGCTCCTTGAACCCTCCTGACCATTCTCAGAGGTGGCCTTCTTACTCGAATCCCCATTTCCCAGATGAGGACAGACAGGTGAGGTCATGGGGCAAGGAGGAAGAAAAGGCAAGCAGGGCTCTAGGGCTCTGAGACTCCAACTCCTGCTGAGTGCGTAATACCTTAGGGTTTACAAAAGGAGGACAGCCACGCTTGAAGGCCCTCGGTGGTGATGATGGGAAGATGAGACCCAGAGGGGACGGACACCTGCAGGCAGTAGGTTAAGCAGTGGGGCAGCCAGGTAAAGACCCAACCTCCCTGGGCAGGAACAGGTCTTGGCCTCACTGTGTGCAAGCCATAAACAAAGCGAGTGGACTTCTCAGAAGGCTCAGTGGTAGAGTACTTATCTAGTGTGTGCAAGGACCTGGTTTAATCCCCAGTATTACAAGAAAGAAAGAAGGCTTAGATACCCTGATTCCTTATCACTCTAATATTTCTGGTCTGGATGGGCCCTTCCCCCAGCCCTCCAGAAATCCAGGAATCTGACCATAGATGTGGGCATTTCAGCCCAGGAGACCCTCTGCCTTGGCCCCTTCATCCAGGGCCCAGCAAGTCCTTCTTGGACAGCTGCCTGGCCTGCGTACCTGCCCCTTCATTCTAGTGGCCAGGAGCTTACAAGTCAGATGACCGCACACTCAGGCTCCAAGCCCTCCATGACTCCCACCGCTCCCTAAGAGGAAGCCAAACTTGGACCTGGGAGCCCTGTAAGACCCAGGCCCTGCCTCCTTCTCAGGCCCTGTCCCTTGTCCTGCTCTAGCCACACTGGCCTTCTTTCTCCTTGTACACCAAGGAAACTTAATCCTGCCCCAGGCTCACTGCATTTGGTATCCCCTCTCCCTGGAGTGTCCTATTCTCAAATCTTTGCACAGCTGGCTCCTCCTTGAGTGGCAGATTTCGGCTCAAGTATCCCCTCCTGAGAGAGGCTTTTCCTGATCGCTCTTATCTACAGTAGCCTCCCTGCCCCATGTTGTTTCTGTGCCTTGCTTAACCTGGTAATATTATGGGACTGTACTGGTTTGCGTTCCTACTGGTGTCATTCTCCCTCATGAGACCGGGATCTCTCCAGGCTTGGATCTCTCCTTGCTGTCTTCTTCCCTGCAGTGTCTCTAGGGCAGATGCTGAATGGACATGTACTTCCTGCCTGTCCCGTCGTGCCGTGTTCTCTCCTATCTGCCCGTTTGTCTGTCCCCGTTTTTCTGTGTCTTATCTCTCCTCATTCACATTTTTCTCCAGTTCTCCCAATTGAGTCTCCAGCTCCATGTTTCTTGTCATGCACTCCATCTCCATGTCCAGCTTGGCCCTGGCACCTGGAGTACCTTTGCCCTTTAGCTAATCAAAAAGGCTTGAGAAATTGGCCATGCTGGGAGCCCCCGCAGATCTCACCAACAACTCTGCCTGGCCCCAGCTCACTGTTAGTGCAGGGCCATCTGACCTCTCCAAGCCTCACCCCCAGAGGCTGAATGATTTAAGCTGCATATATGGCCCCAAAGTCAGAGATATTCTAGCCTGCAGAAAAGAAGGCTCTGGGTGCTGACCCTAGCCTGTATATCTAGGTGAGCTACCTACCCAGATCAGAGACAATAGAACATCCATGATTCCAGGGGCTAGACCCAGACAGGGCCTTGTGAACAGCAGAGTAAGGTCCTCCTCAGTAATGCTCAGTCTCAGGAGTAAGCCTCCTATCCCCAGAGGCAATCAAGCGAGTCTTCCTAACAGCTGGGCCCCAGCCAGTCAGGGGAGAAAGTTAGACCAGCCTGCCTCAAGTTCCCTTGCACCGAACCTGAATCCCCAGCCCAGCCCTCTCCCTGGCGTTCCCATAACCCTCACACTCTCTTTCCTGCAGATTTTTGGACAGGCCTCCCTGATCCCCCAGTTGTTTGGCCATGAGCAGCAGGTATGTTTGACATTCTCGTGTACCCCAGTCGTGAGTCTTGGCCCTGCACATGAGTGGTCCTAGCACCCAGCCCAGGTGCAAGAGTCACCACCAGGACAGCCACCTCCAGTGAGGATGGAGTCTGTTCTTTACCCACCCCAATTACTTCACCTCTCTGTGCCTCAGTTTCCTCTTCTAGAAATGGGAAAGTGAGCTGGGTTCTATGGGTGGAGCAAGAAGTCGCCCCAGGACAGTGGGGAGTATTCCCTGAAAATCTGGCTCCCTCCCTCCCTCCTCACCTCCTTGACACCTGGGTCAGGCCTAAGAAACTATTTTGTTTGATCCCTGATTTTCTCCTTTCCAGAACCCCAGTAGGACCTTTAGGTTATCAGGATATTGAACTGAATGCAGGGACTGTTCAACTCTGTAAAAGCTGGCAGAGGTAATACCAGTCGTGGCACCCTAGCTGCCCAAAGGGCCCCCCACACCCATTCTATCTGGAAGCAGCCCCCTCTTCCATCCAGCCCTGAGACCAGAAAATGGGGCAGGAAAGGTGTTCTGAGCTCAACTCCTCATAGCAGGAGTGGGCAAGGGCCTTGCCTAAGACCATATGTCCTATAAGGGCAAAAGCTAGGACCAGGCCATCTCCTAATTCTAGCTGTGGACGCCTCATGTGTCCCTCTCCGCATCAGAGGAACTGTGTGTTCCTGTATTCTGCCCCCACCCCCGGGACTGAGGTGTGAGACCAGGGTCTTTGCTCTGAGCTGCATCCCCAGCCCCTTTTGTTATTGTTTTGTTTTTTTCTATTTTGAGACAGAGTCTCACTAGTTGCCCAGGCTGGGCTCAGACGTATGCTCCTTCTGTGTCAGCCTCCTAGAGTGTGTGTGCCCCTCTTGAATACATTATTCCAGGTCTTTAGGGAGCCCACAGTGGGTCTGGTGACCTTTTCCTCCTCTGACTTCAGTAGGTGTGTGGTAAGGAAGTGCTGTGTTGTTTTTTTGTTTTTGGTTTTTTGAGACAGGGTCTCACTATGTGGTTGAGACTGACCTGGAACTCACTATGTAGCCCAGGCTGGTCTTGAACTCACAGCAATCCTCCTGCCTCGGCCTCCCGAGTGCTGGGATTACAATGTGCACAGTG